TATAATATTTGTAAACCTGAAGAGTCAGTGCCAGTGCCTCACCAGCCATGAACCTCACTGCAGAAGCTTATATATAGACATCTAAGTTTTTTGTGCCCCACCACTTTTGTACATATAGAAACGCCACTGTTTATTGGTAATAATACCAGAGCAGAGCGATACCAGCAGAACAGTAACAGCCGGATGATGTGCAGGCAAACAAACCAGAGGACAGCAGGCAGAAGGTGAGTCAGGGTCGGTTAGGGAGCAGGCGAGGCAGTCAACGTAGGTACAGGCAGGGTCAGACAGCAGGCAAGGCAGGATAGTCCAAGGACAGGCAGGATCAGGGAACAGGCAGAGCAGGCAGGTCAGGGACAGGCAGGGTCGGAACCGGGTAGCCAATCTGATGACAAACGTGTGAAAGACTAGCATGAAGGCAAAGTACGATCTGGCAACGGGTGTGTGTCTGGTGAGGGTTTAAATACTGGCAGTAAAACTAATGGGTGCAGTAGAGAAAGAGAGTGAGCAAAAACGTGGGTGTGGTTAACAGGTGAGACAGGTGAATGGAAAACTACTGGTGAATGATGGAGCAGACTGTGACAGTTGATTGCATGGCAGTTAAAAGGCGAAGAAAGTGGAAAATCGGCACTGGAGACCTCTGGTCATCAGTAAGAACCATCACTAACTCTGTGTAACTGCACAACTGTACTCGTTCTTTAGGTGTGGTGAAAACTGAGGGAAAGCGCTTTGCTGAAACATGCACCAGTTTCTTGAAGTTACACAGGAGTGTGAGATAGTGGGCAGAGTCTCCACCGTAGGAACAGATAGAGCTGCAGTATGATAGCAGCAGAGATAATTATGATATGTGCAGCTCACATTATGCAGAGGGGGGTCCAGGGGCTCAATGTGACAGTGGCTTTGTTGATGCTTTAGCTGAGTGTCAGAAATTGTCAGACTTCATGCCAAAAACTCAGGTTATGTTATAATAAAGTTAAAAACCCTCTGAGTTCTCTTATCAGTTAGTCATGCACTTCTTTATTACAACACCACACATGTATTTATTTGATCTCCCTCAAAATAAAAGCTAATATTGGTATTTTAAAACTTGTGATTAATTATGACACAGTTTATCATTGTGTTTAATGCAATTACATTTGTTGTTGTTTGAAATATATCATTTTACATACATTTCTTTAGGGTGATTGGAATATACTTTGCATTCAGTGGAATCCTAAATCCAAAAAAGGCTTAAGAATTGAAGTTAAACTATATTAAAACATATATATTATACAGTCAAATCCTCCATATTTGTCAAACACACAACTTTTTATTCGAAAACACTTCTTTACTCTCATAACAAGTAGCACCTCTGTATAACAGTGAGACAAATGGACATGTTATAAGTGAAATCTTTTTTCAAGGAGTCTTTAGGGTCCTTAAGGTAAAGGTTAGGGTTTTTCTACTAATATATAGTATTAAAGTAGTTTAGTTTCAATTACAGATTTGTCAGATGCTTTGAGATCGTGTTTGGTCCGTTGTCAATAAGGTTAAGTCCTTTCAGCTTTCATTAACCCCTAATACAGTTCAAACTAGCTGCTTGAATCTGCAAACCCAGCATGAAATGGCCAACCTGGCATGGAGCCTGCCAGAGAGTTTCATGTTTTTTTAGGACTTACAGGATCATACTACAGAAATTAGAGTACACCTTTATGTTTTATTAATTGTAATTATCGTACACATTCTGGATATGCTTTTTAACTGCTACACTTCAAGTGGAAATGTGTACAATGGGAAGGATAACTGTTAGAAAACCTGCTAAGATAGTTGGCAGACTTTCCAGCTTTTGAAGTCTACCCAAGCTTATTTAGGTAGCATCTGCCTGGGAACTTCTGTTGACCAGCTGTGTTTCTCTGGCTCAGATTCACACACACACACACACACACACACACACACACACACACCACACACACACACACACACACACACACACACACACACACACACACACACACACACACACACACACACACACACACACACACACACACACACACACACACACACACACACACACACACACACACACACACACACACACACACACACACACACAGCCTCTTGCTGGTTCAGCAGTTTAAATCAGTGAAGTGTTTCAGAGCACAGCAAGATGCGACCCATCATCAATCACACACACACACACACACACACACACACACACACACACACACACACACACACACACACACACACACACACACACACACACACACACACACACACACACACACACACACACACACACACACACAGTGTGTCACAAGGCCAAGTGAGGGAAGCAGGTGGTGGGCAGTCTGTGAGTGTGTGTGTGTTTTAAAAGAGCTGTGTTGAGGATGAGATATGTTATTTTTCCACTTCAGTGTGTTTACATGCACTATAGTAAGCTGCAGTCACCTGTATTTACAGTATTTGTGGTGAGTTTAAGGCAGGTTGTGTGAAGTGGAGTGGGTTAGACAGTGTGTAAGGCAAGGTGGGATCAACGATGTACAGTGGGGTTAGGGCAGTGGTTCTCAAACTTTTCTTTGAACAGGTGGGCCTTTTCAAGCCCCAGGGAACATCAGTTCAGAGAAAAACAAATAACAGTTCAGAAATAGAGAAAATAAAAGTGCAATGGTGTCAGTCCTTGCCTCAAATTGGCTGAGTTCCAAAAATATAGAAAAAGGGCCTACTATTGTTATCAATGGTAGGCCAAGCTTAAAATGGTCAAATGTATTTAAACAACGTCAAGTTCTACATCTTATAACAAATAAAATCAATAACAAATAACATCACTCAATAATAACAAATAAAATCAATAACAAATCAATACATTCAGCAATGCAAATGACCAATTGAATGCATGAGTCTCATCACTGGATTATTAGTGACTGCAATGAGCCTGTTTTGCACGACACATCTTTTCAAAACGCGGTTGCAGGCTTGATAATGCCACTCAAGTCGTGCTCAATGTTGAGCCTAGATCTGTATTTTGTTTTCAGTGTTGCAACAGCTGAAAAACCCATTTCACAGAAGTAAGATGTGGCAAAGGGAAGAAGAATGTGCACAGCTCTCTGCCCAATTACTGGCAGTGTTGGGTGTAACGCGTTACAAAAGTAACGGAGTTACAGTAATATATTACTTTTTGCTGTAACGAAGTAATGTAACGCATTACTAATGACATTTGGGTAATATATTCCCGTTACAATTCTCAGTAACGCAGTTACACAACACATTTTAACCCGAAATTAAATGGTGTTTTGTTTTTTAAGAATTCACAAATATCGCGAGACATTCCGACACCAGAGAAAAAATGTGCGGGTAGATTAATAAACCTGATGCATTGTTTACTATTGGGTTAAGATGGCGGGAGGAACTTTTGAGCAATGGGTGTTCTCACATTATTATCAGTTCATTAGAGAAAAAGAGAAAAACATAATAGTCAAGTGCAATCTATGTTCGTCGGCAGCAAAGGAATTGTCTACATCAAGAAATAGCACTAGCAACTTAAAGAAACACCTGGACCGGTGCCACGCTAACACTAAGTTAGTCGAGAGATCTGCCGGCTCGGAGAAAAGAAAACATACAGAAGACGTGAGTGCGGGCACGCCGAAGCAACACAAGTTAACATTATCTCGGTCTTCTATGATTCTGGAACCCCGAGAAGTTAAGAGACTCGTGGCAGAGTATGTTGTGGAAGACATGCAATCTCTGTCAACTGTGGAGTCGCCGGCATTTAGAAAACTTGTCAGCAAAATCCACCAATGACAAGGTAAGCTAACGTTGCAATAGAGCAGGGGTCACCAACCTTTTTTAGGATGAGGGCTACTTTCTAAAAATAAAACAAGTCGGGGGCTACTTTTACTCCTCTTTTTTGAGTTTTTTTGCAGTGTATATATTTAGCACATTTTAACATTATTATATGCTTACCTTTAACCTTTGTGCTGTTTGGGTCTGTGGGACTCGTTTTCAGTGTTTACTCAAATAGCATGTATGCAATTTAATTATTTTAACCTGCTTTATTTGGGGGTGGACCTCACCTCCTCCAGGGGGGGCCTCACATCCTCCAGGGGGGACCTCACCTCCTCTAGGGGGGTCCTCACCTCACCTTCCCGGGGGCATGCTCCCCCGGGAAGATTTTTTTTTAAATGTTGAAGTTAAAAGCATCAATCTGGAGCACTTTGAGCACAACATGAATTTATGGATACAGCTCTCAACACTCAGATGAAAGGGAGCTGTATACTTTTCAATAATCCAAACATCTTTAGAATATGATCACAACCAATAACAAATCATTTAAACTGGTTTATTCTTATCTTATGTTACCTAGTTAGCATTCTTTCTTTTTATTTATGCATATGTCACTAATCCCTCCCCTTTTAATCAGTTTTTTGTACTGTCCTATTGTACACATTGGAATGATTTACACACACACACACACACACACACACACACACACACACACACACACACACACACACACACAACACACACACACACACACACACACACACACACACACACACACACACACACACACACACACACACACACACACACACACACACACACACACACACACACACACACAGGCTGTGTGCTCCTCCGTGGCGATGACGGCTTGCGTTAACAAAATAAAATAAACATATTTGTAAAGTGGGGGGACACAAACGGGATTTCGGAAAGAGCGGGGGACATGTCCCCCCTGGAGATTACGCCATGCGTGTGTGTGAGTCAAGTGGAATAAATATATATGCAAGTTACAACACACAGAGTAAAACTCTGCCCCTCATGTGTTGTACAGGCTGGCATGACTAGGCTGTGTTCAATGGGGCTGATGTGTAGATTCTGCCAGAAGGAAAATCAGCGGGGAGGTGCCACATTGCTTTTCTTCCCGACTGCAACGCTGGTCCTGCAAATCAAGCAAGAACGTGATTGGTCGATATTCATTGTGGAGGAGGAGGAGTGTTAGATAGATATAGAGTTGTAGTAAGTAGATAGAGTTCGCTATGATTTAGGTTTCGTTTATGCATAGGGTAGATTCTTTTAATTACCTTTCCTTTTTTGTTTTGTGTATTTTATACATTTTGGATTTTCTTGGCGAGCTATTTTTGGAACGTGCCCGGCGGGCGCCTCACCTTGCCCCTGCGGGCGACTGAGTGCCCACGGGCACCGTGTTGGCTACCCCTGCAATAGAGACTTTTTAATACAGTAGGTTACTGGGCCATGCCGAGGCTGTACTACCATGTTAGCGACCAGCGACGTAATTGTAATGTTGTTATTTTGTGTGTGTGTGTGTGTGTGTGTGCGTGCGTGCGTGTGTGTGTGTGCGTGCGTGTGTCTTGACTCGCATCTTATTCCACTCACTTTGTACATGGTTAGCTTAAATGTTATACTGCTGCCTGGTGGTAAAAAGATGCATTGCCTATACATACGCACCTATCATTACAGTAATGTTACCGGTATCCAAATATTATTTAGCCCAGTTATAAATGGAGCATTAGTTTATTATCTAGCATGACTTTAATATCTCTATCTTCTTAATTTTCAGCAAGTATTGCCAGATAGAAAGACATTTGCCAAAGAGTTGGATAAAGAATATGCTATCATGGAAAAGGAGCTGAGGAAAGCTATCGATGCCCAGGAGTATGTGTCAACAACGGCAGACATATGGAGTGCTAACAACAAAAGTTTATTGGGGGTGACTGTGCATTGGATCGATGCAGATACCTTGAAACGGAAGAAGGCTGCGATCGCTTGTAGAAGATTTAGGGGTCGACACACGTACGACGCAATAGCAACAGAGCTGGAGGACATTTTCTCTCAATATGGACTTACCAACGATATAGTGACTGCATGTGTGACGGACAACGGGAGTAACTGTGTGAAGGCGTTCAAGGAGCATCAGCAGCGGCAAGTGGAGTCCGATGAGGAGGAGGATGAGGTGGATGGCGATGGTGAGGCAGACTTTACAGACCTTCACAGTGTGCTTGCCGCCGCCAAAGATGATAATGCCCGGGACGGGCTATGTGTACTGCCTCCCCATCATAGATGCGCAGCCCATACACTTAATCTAATTGCGAACAATGAGGTTGATAAATGGCTGTCATCTAACGTAGAATCTAGGGCTGTGTATCGTAGTGCTACAGCCAAATGTTCAGCGTTGTGGACGAAGGCCAGCCGCTCCACAGTCGCATCAGAGTTCCTGGAAGAGGTCAGTGGTAGAAAGTTGATTGTCCCCACAGTAACAAGGTGGAACTCATACTTTGACGCCTATTCTCGGATCACAGAAATGCCCCTCACTGACATCAATAATATCTGCACACAATTTCAAATGAAATGTATGAACGACAGGGAATACCAGTTTCTCAAGGAATACTGTTCAATTATGAAGCCTTTCACAGTTGCACTGGACATCTTACACTACTTACAGGGTGAGGACACTTGTTTTTATGGAACGCTTCAACCAACACTAGAAGTTCTCATGGGAAAAATCTTAGCAATGAAAACTGGCCTATCAGCAATGACCACTGGGCTGCCTGAAGTTATTGTGGGAGCAATCAAAACCAGATTTGCCGCAATAATTTACTCCAAGGAAGCGCTGCTTGCCGCTGTCTCACTGCCCAAGTTTAAAGTTGGGTAAAAGAAGAAGCCAGAAGAGACCATATCAAGATACTCCTCATGTCAGAGTGTCGTTCCCTAACAACACAAGAGCCTGCAGCCCTCATGCCCGATGTCCCTCAACCTGCTGCTGTTGCCTCCAGCGAGGAGGATTTGTTTGCCTTTGACTTACAGCCCGTTACCACAGCTGATGCACCCATGTCTGTGGAAACAGAGGTAATGTCTTATTTCAATTCTGCCCCTACGATGGAAAGTCTGCACCAGTTTCCAAGAATTAAAAAAATCACACTCCGCTGTAATGCCCCAACGCCATCCAGTGCACCAGTAGAAAGACTTTTCAGTCTTGGAAATCTTGTGCTCACCCCAACACGCAACCGTCTCGGTGATGGACGCTTTCAACGCCTTCTCCTGATGCGCTTCAACCGTCATTTCAGTCAAGGCGGTAGTGGAATATGCCAGCCCCCCCACCATAGAACAATAAGTAGGCTATAGGTCAAGGCTTTAAGTGCTTTCATACTTAAATGTATTTTACGAGCCTTAATTGGCTGTATTCTACCTCTGTAACAGGCAGTAACAGGTTTCCTGTTTATTTTTTTATTTTCAATATTCCAATGTGTGTGTTAAATATAGTGGAGCTTCATTTGTTTTGTGAAGTATTTCCTACGAGGCCTTTTTTTGTATTTGACCAGACTTTGTTTGGTAGCCTATGTTCTATGCGTTGTTTGGCAAATAGCAGGGCTCCTATTTTTGGCCTACGTTGCATTTAGTAGCAATCTTAAGCAATGTTTGGCTTACATGTTAATAGTGTTGGACTGAAAATGGCTGAGCCGTAAGCTATTCCTTGAGGCCTAATCCTTTTCGTATTCTTCTTCTTTGTCCACTCAATACATTCAAACTTATTTTGCTTGGAACTTGAATTAAATAAAAGAAAGTAACAAAAAGAAAAATATATTGCACACCTTGTCATTTCATAATGTTATAGATTTCATTATAGTGAGCTCTAGCTCTATTGTATTTAATATATATAGGCCTAGACTTATAAATATTTACAGTATCTCTACCATAATTGACCAGACTTTGATCCTTTGTCTGCTTTAAATAAGTTTATAAGTTGTTAGTAGCCTTAAGGGCCTACACAGTTTTTATGCTATACCACATTGCCCTTCACTGGATGTATAATGAGATGCACTAAACTACATTTTAGCATTTAAAATAACTAGCCATTCTTTTGCGGTTATTTTGGTGAAAGTAACTAAAAAAGTAACTAAAGTAGTGTAACTCATTACATTTCAGAGACAGTAATATTGTAATGTAACTTATTACTTTCAAAAGAGAGTAATAAGTAATATGTAATATATTACATTTTGGAAGTAACTTGCCCAACACTGATTACTGGATACTCCCTCTCCACTCCAAGCCATAATTGACATTCATTTGGTTTCAGTTGTGTGTGTGAGCAGGCTCGGATTGGCTACAGGGAGATTCGGGACTTTTCCCGTGGGCTGCTGCCGTTGGTGGGCTGCTGCCTTCTGTGGGGCTCTGGCATAGGTGGACCGTGGATTTTCACCCAATGGATCCCAGCGGCTGGGAATGTTAAGCCCTCCCACTATTTTCTAAGAGGGCGTTGCCAGATTTTCAATTTCAGGATTTAACCATTAGATGGCGCTTCATTCATAAATACAGAAAGACAAGTTTCATGGACTTTCAGTACTTCAGTTGTGTTTTGAAGAGCATTTGAACACATATTTGTTATGGTTTTCACAGGCTACTACAGTATAACGAAAAAACATCAATATTTTAGATAAAATAAAGTATATCTAATCTTGTAATTCAATATTATATAGTCTTTATATAATAATCATAATAATGTAAATGTTTACACTTCTTTATTTTTTATGCTCATACTTTTACCTTTACAATAGTTTGCTTTAATATGCAGTATATGTTTTGTAATATTTGTTTTGGTGTTTGCTTCCTCCTGCTCCCTTTGACACATACTGTATGATTTATTATTAATATGAAGATATTATTAAGATGTTACTTTATTGATTGAACATTTTTGTTTAGAGTTCTCTGCTGTCCCACGGTAATTCAGATGGCTCACATTCCGACCATTATTTAAAACAATAGGCGCTTTCACACCGTCTACAGTTTGATTTGTATAGAGGGAGCTGTGGCTGAATGGCCGGCGATTAGGTGTGGCGCATTTATCATTAGGTGATCAGAGCTGCCTGGCTGCCGTCAGATTTCATTTAAAAAACAGGTCTGATTTTAAGATCCTAAAATAAATACAAATATATATTTTTTCTAATATTGTTGTGGTCACGTGACTTTGTTTAAAATCCAAGGGTGTAACTTTGGTTTGAGAAGTGGGGGTGGGGGGTGGGGTCGGGTGAGGGGGGGGGGGGGGGGACACACGAAACAGGGGGTCCTCCACAATTAAACATTTTTCCGATTTAATTCAATTTCCTGCCTTTCTACAAATATATTAGGGGCTATGGTGTTTGTGGCGGCTCAATCCCCAGTTACATTTGAGTCGCCGAGAGGCTAAACTTGGCTTTAAACTGTGACGCGTTTTCGAAAAGAAAGTCCATGTTGAAGCAATATAGTTTTAGGGTTATTTAATAAACAAAATCAAAACATAGTAACTATGGACAAAACGGTCAACAGAAAAAATGACAGCACAAGCTCACCCTCTGTCATGTGCACTCAACATCAAACAGGTGACTTATAAACCAAACCACACCCATGTGACAATTACCGGAAGTGCTCAACAAGCAAATAAAGGTGACGTAAATAATAATGATAATACAAATAATGAACTTGAGCTAAGTAGTGTTATGGCACCTACAGTGTTAACAAATCCAAGAAAAATGTGTAGTGTATAGCCCTCCGAGTCCTTTTTAAACAAATAAACAGCCCCCACCCCCCTCTGAGTGACAAGCTGTGAAGTCAACAGATTGTCTGAGACAACTTGGCACTAAGAGTATACTGATATGTCTACCATTTATTTTATGAGTGTAATATCTGCATTTTCTCTTTCGGTTTGATTAGGACATCCAGCCATTACACCTTTCTTCCCGTCAAGAGTTTGAATTGGAGACAGGGTAATGGTTATCGATGGTGCTTTTAAAGCCTATTGTATAATAACTGTTATGACTATTTCTTTTCAAATGCATATATGCCACCCATTTACACCACTCTTCCCGTCAAGAATTTGAATTTGAATAGAACTCCGTTTTTCGGGGGCTCCTCAGTCTCTCGTTTAATCTCTCAACGGTCCCGTTTCATTGTAGGATTTCTGCCATGTCTCCACTTAAGTTTGACCAACTGTGTTAATAAGTTATGGAATACTAAATAAATAAGTAATTAGATACCTTACCATTACTGCGCTCATAAAGAATGATACGAATAAGAAAAATGCGTATTGAACTGGTTTAATTAAGTAGTGTGTTTATTTAAGGTAATTAGGTAGAAGCCCTTTTTTATCAGTAACAAATTTAGCAGTTGAACATAAAAGTCAACTGAGTGTCACTTGCAATGACAGTGTTGTGTTTTTATTTTATGAACCTTTTACATTAAAAATTGTTGTTGAATATATAAATAGCATTATGAATATGGATAAATACTAGGCTATTTATTATAAACGTTAGTCATTCACATCTATCACTGTGTATACCACCATTCTTTAATTCAATGTTTGATACGTTTCTATGAAATAAGAAATGAATACAATTAAAATGTAATTATCATATCATTATATTATAATGTATTGTATTAAGTAATATCATACATTAACCCCATTATAGCAGATGCCACATTGAATGGATGAACACATTTATGCATCAATAATTACAACGGAGTATTTCTAAATACAAGTTGTAAAAATACTTACAGTATATGTATTTAATACTAATAACATAATGATTAATTTTACTTTCAGATGATAATACTTTTCAGGGTTAGGGTTTGGTCCGGTCTGACAGCGCTTAGCTCTCTGCTGCAGAGAGGAAGAGAAGATCACTTCTCTAAACAAAGTAAAAAATCGTACATCCGAACAGAATACATATAATTAATTATTATTAATACGTTAAGTCTTGTTCATTGTTTTTCACTTTTATTAAATGTTTGATATTTCCGGCACAGACCCTTTCATACCGGCAATGCGCGATAGAAACAACAGGAACTGCGACAGCATAAATATGCGAACACAAACTGTTTGAAATTAAAATCAATGTTGATATGGCGTAATTTGAATTAAATACACGGTATTTAATTTAAATCTGTTTTATTCGAAAAACCGAAGATTCACACATGACTTCCGGTTTTCCGCTAGTGAATTTTGTCATTTCCGGTTAGCATTAGCATGTGGCGAAAATGCTACGTTTTCAAAACCGTGAATTGAAGGTGAAATGATATGTGATGTTGTACACTAAACACACTGGGATTAGCACTCTTTTATTGACGCTGAATAACGTTTATCAGGGAATGTTTAAATAACCAGACACCAGAATGATGTAATTTAGCAACAGAAAAAGGCAGGAATTGCATTGTACCCGCCCCCCCGTCGACGCCGGCCAATAGGAGAAGACCTCAGATGACAACAGGAAGAGCGAGGCAAGAATCGATCTCTTTTCCCTGACCTCGGCTGACCAGACGCATGGAGAGAGAGCCTCTACTCGCAAATTTCATTTGTACATCACCGCATCTTTTGTGTAATTAAATGCTGTTAACTTTTATAGGTTTCCCTTGACTCTTTTCAGTCTGTCCTGCTCTCAGGGTTCAAGAATTACTAACATTTGGCATGCCTGGGTGGACTTTGAGAGAGGAGAGAGCTGGAGGAGCAGGGAGTCTACAAGCTAACTAGCATCACACCAGGCTGCACAAAGGGGAGGACAGGCTACAGACTCACTGCTGGCGTTTGCATAGGGCCTAAATGAAAGGTGAGACGGTTACCTGTTTAATTAAAAAACGGAATGGTTAAATAACATGAATTGGGTGCAAGCGTTGGTAGTGAGCTGTATAGAGAGGCGAAGTCTCTCCCCTTCCGGGAGCCTCCATGGGACGCCGGAAGGGGTGAAGGCTTTTGTGCAGGCCTATCAAGTGACAGTGTTCGAGTCTGGTCTCTTTGTGAGTGAGTCGGGTGTTTTGGGAGCATCACCCGATGGACTTGTGCAGCCATCTGCCCTGCTCGAGGTGAAGTGTCCACACAACCAGAGGAACATGACCATCGCGGAGGCTGTCCAGTTACCATCCTTCTGTCTCCATGAGGAGGGTGGGTCATATATTCTCAAGGAGATCACCCACACTGGCACCAGGTCCAAGGGCAGCTGCACATCACAGACCGGAGTCTCTGCTACTTTGTTGTGTGGACCACGAAGGAGGCGATCATCATCCCCATCCCCAAAGACCCTGCATGGCATGGAAATCTCCTCCTCCTGGAAAACTTCTACACCCAGCATATGCTCCCTGTGTTGGCCAGTGGAGAGGACATTTAAATAAACATACTCTTAACACCCTCGGACTCTGCGTTGTGTTTTCGTATGTGTGATGGGGTATTATGCAGAGGGGAGGAAAACAGGACACAGCAGATTGGGATTGTGGTGGAGATGCTGAGCAGTTATTTAATTGTTGCATGTAATTATTATTATACTGCGTGC